CAATGAATAGTGGGATTGACCATCAAATTATAATTCCCCCACAGATGAAAGGGTGAGCATGTTTGGTGGGACAGGGATACAAACCCACAACGCTCAAATTGCAAGTCAATCACCCTAACCATGTGGCCATACCAGAACCCTTAAATTTTTAAAAGCAAACCAACCCCAATTTATTCAATCCAATGATCTGCATGAAAGGGAAGGATCCCCTTATGCTTTATTCATGATAGTCCATGAGTGTCAGTCCAGCATAGTACAGTAATACCACCTTGTCTGCCTCTAGGTGGTGTGATAGAACACCTCATTTCTATAGAGCCTGTTGCAACTTAGATAAAGTATATTATTTTAGTGGTTGGTAGTGCAGAATTGGTTTGATAAAAGCATACCTGGTTGGACAATACTTGCCACAAAGTGGGATTCTTTGAAAAAGAGGTAAAAGATCCTGGAAAATAAAGAAGAGACAATATTAGTAATGAAGATACACCTCTTTATCATATAGCAGATGTGTTTAAGATAACTAGTTGGGGTAGTCAAAACTCTCAGAAGAAGATACTGCTACATCATGCAAATAATGTGAGATGAAAGTATTGGATAAGGTCCACATACCAGCCCGTGCAATGTCCTTCAGCAGACAATTCAAACGGGCTGCAAAGGACATAGAAATATGATGAATCTTAAAAAACATGACTCACAAAAGACTCCTTACCAACAAACAAGAGCCCAGAAAAATTGATATGGATCGATTTCCGTATCCACCTCGACAAAGTAACCAAGGATAAGTCTTGAGAAACTGAACGATCTCAATGAATAAAACGTCCTTGCCTAGCATTACTATAAGCAACATAACACTTTAATAAGACACTCACTGAACATCACAAACAGTCATAGAAATGAGAAATAGTGGCCAGATGAATCAGTGAAAAAGATTTATCCCCTTCCCTGGCTGCCAGTGACTTAGGGAACCTGGCTGAATATAGGAGGACGTAAGCAGAAGTGCACAACCAGAGCAAACATCTCCGATCAGCCGCAACAAAAATTAAACTTTAAGGGAAAGGTGATACATGGTACCTGAGGCTAAGGTCTAAAACAGATGTTGACAAAGAGCATATAATACTACCCTAATACACCAGTTATGTAACTGAAACAGTCGTTTGTGACAAAGGACCCAAAATGACTTGGGGGCCATGGGACTGAAAAAATTTTCTGTCTCAAGTATCTAAAGGTAGTCAATAATGTCACCTTATATAAGGCGATTGTGGAAGATGCATAACCCTTGTCAAAGAGCCAGGTCAAAAATGAGGTATGGTTGGAACTTCTAGACAAAGTGCATTAAACCTCCTCTCAATACACCATTGTCAATATTGTGCCATTTCCATTGATAAATGTCCATTGTGAGACAATCAAAAGACTGAGACTAATACATGGCAACGTTAGAAGGTAAACCCCAATGCCATGCAAAGAATCACATAACCTCCATGCATGAAGCTTGAATCTTCAGGATGGCTACCTCAACAGAAATGGTCTAAGAGGAAGTGGAAAAGTTGGGCATTCCTGAAGGTGCCACAGATGTAGAAACCAGTGTTTTGCCATCAATCTGGTGCTATCAACAAAACACGACAATGAGTTGGAATGAATCATAGCTAGTACCTTGGGTAACATACAAATTGGTAGAAAGGCTTATAGGTGTAATCTCATTCAGTCCTGACAGAATCATCTATTGACAATGTCCGAGGGTGAAGTACTGGAGGAAAAAAATGCCAGTAGTTGGGTGTTACAATAGTAGTTGAGTGTTATAATCAGTAGCCAACACATCAATCATCATGGTTCTGAACTGAGACCTGGACCAAGTTCCCCCTTGACAGGAAATGTAAGACACCACCGTGGAATTGTCAGTGAAGCCTGACAATTATTCCTCTTAAGCCTACCGACATAAGTCTTCTTACTGTCACAGGTCAAAGGCTATGTCATAGCATTTGTCAACTCACATTCAAAATCTTATTGAACTACTATTTTATGAACGTATGTGAATAACTTTGGTATCAAATTGTAAACTATAATTCAAACTTTAGTATTATACATTAGTTAATTTCTTAATTTAAAAGTAAATATAAATAAAATAATTCTAAATATCGATTATTGGGTGTCATGTGGTATGTTGAATGCAGCATTGGTTCAAATTAGATGTTTCTGATGTCCAAATACAAAGTCTACAGTTTCTTACAAATTAGATACTCAGGTTACCAATTGTGACATGCTAGAATATAAGAACCTCCTATCTTTTCTATTTTCTGAAATATTAATATATTTATTGAATCAATCAACGTGGCCCCACCCACCTCTGACATTTTTTTAAATATTTGCTTACATAACCTACTTTGCCCAATGATGTGTGTATAACCAACTGGAAGCTCAGAATGTTCCCCTAGTGGTTTTCTCAGCCTCTGCAATGTATTTGCACACAGAACTTTTTCTTTTCATGCCAGATTCCAAGCAGTAAGGTAAGACATTAGTGAATTCAAAAAATCATATTTTTTAGAACAAAATGCAGCTTAGTTCCTAAACTGGATAAATTACAGTGAAATTCTATGGTAGTAATTTATGATTTTTTTGTTATTTCAATATATATATAAAACCTTAAAATAATTATTTTGTTGTACATCCTCCACGCTCGAAATTTGATAAGGCTTAGCAACTTACAACAAGCAGCAACCGAGTACAAAGTTTGTAACTAGAAGAGATAATTATTTGCTTTACTTCTTTATTTACTGTTCTATGTTTTAAGAAAAATAACTGAAATTTAAGAACTTATTTGTACATAGTAATAATGTATATAGATATACATTATAACTGAAATATAACTGTATTGTACAAAATACTTGTCCAAGAGAGCACAGCCAAGACAGGTCACTTTGTAAAGGCCAGTTTTATATTCTTTGATATAGTAACATGAGCACACGTGTGCCACATGATTGCAAAATCTGTAATGCTAGTCAGGCACAACTGAACGGTCAATAAAATACAAATAATAAATATATATAAATGTATAATGTTATGAGATTTAAGCTATTTAGAATAAACATTTGTGGACATTCTAGAATGAAAAAAAAGCATAATTTATATCTATTTCCTAATTTTTTATGATGGTTACAAGGTTGCTCAAATCGACCAAACCCATACAAAGATGAAATAGTGAAAATAACAGATAAAATATAAAGTTTTTCTAAATAAGATATTTGGTAATTATTTGATGGTTATAAATATTTCACATGTGAAATTTGAAAATTTTTTGATGCATAAAAGTATTTTTAATTTTAAAATCAAAATGACTTTGCACATTGGATAGTCAACATTCGATAATTAAAAAATGCATGAGAAAAACATTAAAACATTAAAAAATCTTAAACTTAATAAAAAAATTTGATATTTTGCATATGAAAGCCTTGTAATGTTTACTGATAATCTGCAAAATTTCATGAAGATACACTTAATTTATTAAAAGTTATAGTTTGAAAACTATAAGAAGCACAAAATGGATACGAAGTGAGTCCCTAGGACAGAGCCCGTAGTGAAAGAGTTAATAAGTCCAGACCGTGAGACATCAAGAAGTTCTGAAACATTGTTTAGAGAAGCCCCATCGTGTGTCCATAGGCCCTGGAATTCCTGACCATTGAAATATGCACCCGATCCTTGAAGCGAGGCATTTGTAGAGAGATGGATCTCTGGATGAGATGGTGGCAGAGGAACATCTATTGTAGTATTATTTCAATCTGACCACCACTCGAGATCAAAGATGATGATCCTGAATAAGGAAACTGGGGGATTTCAGTGAATCAATGTTCATGATCCATTGGTTGCCTAAAGACCACTGAAGGGATCTCATGTGCACTCATCCGAAAGGAATGAAGGATTCAAATGATGCCCACATCCCCAAAAGAGAAAGAACCATCCATGCAGGAGATGCGAGTAAGAGTCGGACTGCCTGTTCTATAAAATGGAGCTGGATGGGAGTCAGCTGAAACCATCCAAAATACACGTTGATAAAGACACCTAGATGGATGATATATTGTGTTGGAGTGAGAAGAGATTTCTCAGCTCTGATAATAAAGCCTGCCTTGGTTGCTTCTGAAAGTAGAATCTGGTTGTGACGTTCAACCAACTGATGAGATTGTGCCACTAGTAATCAGTCATTTAGGGAATGGTATGTGCACAGGCCCAGGGAAAGAGGTGACGAGAAAAAACACGCAAGGTTTGGCAGAACACATATGGTGCTGATGTTAATCTGAAGGGCAGAGCCCTGAACTGCAGCATCTGACCAGTATGCAAGAAACATAGATAATGGCAGGATGCCAGTGCTATGTAAACATGAAGATAGGAGTCGGCAACATCGAACTTGGATATCAAAAATCACAATAAAAATTCCAACGCACAGTGAGGAATGACTCTATTGTGAACCTTGGAGGATCGAGGAATAGATATAGACCAGAAAGATCAATGACTGGACACCAATCTGCTGTCTTCTTAAACACAACAAACATTGGGAATAAAACCCTGGAAAAACTGGCACAACTCTTTCCATTGCTCCCTAGACCAACAAAACCTTTATAGCCCTAGAACAAAGCTCTGAAATCCAAGTACCTGCTGCAGGTGGAAGTGCAACAGGTTGGGTAGATAATGGTTGTAAAGATGTGAACTGAATGCCTAATCCTGACTCAAGGACCCTAAGGCATGCAATAGTCACTGACAACACACCAACCAAGCAGAGAAACCTAGTGATATGGACAGAATTTATTCTGGGTACCAATTAATTGAGGGGCTGAAGTGGGGGGTTGGGACCCTCGAATAGGGGCAGAACTATGACCCCCTGTAGGAGATGAGGAAAGCCGAGACCTCAACGCCAACAGGGATGAATTCAGAAGCTAAAACTCAAACCAATTTAAATACTAGCAATGGTCCCAACTCATTGACAAATTGACGTGGTGATCGCTGAGAGTCTCCTGACTAAAATTGGAGGGATAATAAATATCTTAGCACCATATATAGGGTGAGACAAATACTAGAGAGTTGTGATCTTATCAGGTTTACTACAGACTCTGTTCTAGAAACCAAATTTCCAAGAGCAGGTCTATTCTTTGAGAGTCTGAATATGTGTCCACCTGTCAGTGGTAGGCTACATCACATAGTTCCAACAACCATGCCAGACTAGGCATAGCTGTCCCTTTACATAACTGAGCAGTAAACCTCCCTGCATGAACCACAATATCAGTGGATGTAGGGAGAACTAAGTATGCATTCCCAGACCATTCAGCCTTCAAGGAAGGTGCAGGCTCAAAACTACCGGGAAAAGACCCAAAACATCAATGTACCAAGTGAAGAAAAAGAGCCAGAGGCAGCTGAACCAAAGTGGCCTCCTGAGAATAAAGGAAGATGCAGAAAGAAGTGAATTTAAATTCTTTATTTAATTTCTTTAGTGCATATAGATGTGTATATAAGACATATTAATACAATTAATAAATGACCTTATAACACCAAAATATTGTTTTAATTTAATTATACACTCAATGTTTCTCCAACATTCGTAGTATGGAGAAACCCATTAATGAATGCTTTGTCGAGAAAACGTAATAATATTATCCAAATGAGGTACTTATATAGAGTAAACCACGATAGTCTATTCTCAGTTTATATCATAAAGAGTAATCTTCACAGATAAGTACAAAACTTTAAAAGAACATGATTAGTTTATTCAATTCTCATGATTAAAAAATCACAGAAATTTCATAAACTTTACATAAAATAATTTTAGAATAAAGCAAAGTCTTGTGTAATCTATAAACAAAAATGTACTAAAATGGGACAACAATAAGAATAATTAACTGTGAAAAATCTTTAAAAACAAGTTGTTGAGAATAAAGATACTTGTATACCATACAGTTAACTCAAGTCCTACCTCGTATGCTTCTGGTAATGAGTAAAGTCCTTTTTTCAAAAAATGTATATGTTGTTCACGTAGCAGTTGTGGACAACTGAAATAAACAAACATAACAGAACCACTTTAAAAACACTTCGTAACACGTTTCAAAACTGAAATACAGTGGTTTATTACTTCATTTTAGAAGATGCCATTTCCAGCTACCACAAAGTTAAAACAGAAATTTTACTGTTCGAATTACGCCAAATAAGATCTTTAAATTTTGGTTGTGTGATTGGTTTAAAAGTAGAATTCTTAATTATGATATTGTAAAAATCTTGCACATTAATGACTATAGCTTAATATTGTACTTCCTATATAACCAAATTACTATCTACAGTGTTTCCCAGAAGTCTGGACCCATGGGGAAAAATACAAAATATTGTACTTCCTATACAACCAAATTACTATCTACAGTGTTTCCCAGAAGTCTGGACCCATAGAGAAAAATACACAATATTGTACTTCCTATATAACCAAATTACTATCTACATTCCATATCTCTTTATCAGAATAATCAACTTTCCCTTTACTTTTCAATTCTTACAAAGTAACTTTTTCTTAAAACAACAAACTTCACACTTTAAACTTAAGCTAAGGTTAAAGATGAGTTTTTCTTCTAATTTTCTATAAATGTTTAATTAAATGTCCAAAGATATACAGCTAATGCTTTTGGAACTTAAAGTTTAAATAATTCAAAAACATAAACCTCGGGCATGAGAAAAATTATAAAAACCTTAAAGATGGAAATGTCATATCATATATACAACGAGGAAACACTTGGCCTTTTAAGGCATATCATATCCTTGCCTACAGTAAGAACTTAAGCTCACCCTTCAACTTTTCCATAAAGTGGATTCACCTTTGTACCATAAGATCTACACTTTTAAAAACTGCCTTTAGCTACAAGTTCACTCTTGTAAAACTAGTAGTTTCAAACAAATGTTTTATTTAAACAGTTACTTACTCAGGATCCAGTTCTGCCACATTCTTAATATATTCAAACTGTTGTTTCACAGATTCCTCAACAGCAATCTGAATAAGGCAAACAAAATTGTCATCATAACGGAATCTCCAACACCGTCAAATCTTCATTACAGAAAGCTAAGTCCAGTTCCACATAGTAAATATCAAATTACAAAGTTTATTACATATTTTTTGTGTTGTAACATTGATAAGAAAGAAATCATACAAAGTGTGTTTTTTGCTGCAGAATCTAACAATTGTACCAATCTGAAATGTACAGGGGTCCCCACTATAAAGATGAAACGACTAGATATGATTTTTACAACTACTAATATAGATGGTTTTTGTTATAATACTGATAGCTTTAACATAAATTACTGAAAATGGTTTTTATACGTACTTCAGAAAGTAAGTACAGTTTAAATTTCACCTTTGGTTGAATTTATAAAAACTGAATAAAAGTGAGACTCCCCAGTTCATTTTGCTAGAATTCAGCTACTGTCATTTGGTAAATAAACAAACTGAGTGAAAGTCAAATTTACATGGTAGAGTTATCAGTTTGTTATAAGTTACCAGCTTTCATTAACAAATACCAGTGTTCCAGGTCTGTTATAAGTTAGCAGCTTTCATTAACAAATACCAGTGTTCCAGGTCCGTTATAAGTTAGCAGCTTTCATTAACAAATACCAGTGTTCCAGGTCCGTTATAAGTTAGCAGCTTTCATTAACAAATACCAGTGTTCCAGGTCTGTTATAAGTTAGCAGCTTTCATTAACAATTAACATAAAAAAATGTTTAAATCAAATCAAAGTTAAAAAAAGATCACACAGAACTTAGCCAAGTTCTTGTGACACAGAACTGTGTCACCTTACATACAACTTAGCCAAGTTCTTGTGACACAGAACAACTGTGTCACCTTGCTTACGATTTAGCCAAAATTGTGACACACCAAGTTATTACAGGTGATTTTGTTCAGTAGTTATATAATAGATTATTTAATTTTGATAAATTTTCTATTCCACTCTTATTTCTTTCCTTCCATCATAGAACCCAGGTCCTTAAACATGAAAGTGAGAAAGTTCATAAACGTATTGTTAATGTAAAACTGTAAATAAATACACAAAAATATCATGTTGAACATCAAGTAACTCAAAATAATCATGCATGCACTAGAAACAACTTTCCAGCTAATCCAATTTTTATATCTTTAAAATTTCTTAATTTTGTTTATCACAACTCTCCAAGGTGCACAAATGCTCCCCTCCTGCCCTTTATAGTCACATTACTGAATCTGTCTCAAAAAAAGATATAGAATCTTGAATTTTCCATAAAACATGGCAAAAACTTTCTATTCATGCTTTAATAATATGATAACTTTAGTTGTAATTATAGTTGTATGTGAAACTGGTGATAGATTTATACATGGATTACTTGTTAAACTGAAAAGGAAAGACTGAGAGAAACTGTGTTAGGTTGAATAAAAAAGGTAGGGAGATTAAATATTCAATTGAGGAACATGTCCTTACATGGTATAATGCAAATAAAACTTTGGATATTTAAGGTAAATGATAATAGATATATTATTCTCAAAATAAAGTTTTTAAGCCTATGTTTTATCATTAATTAGACTTTTTAGAAACCATAATGGCTAAATTTTGGTCATGCTAATTGATCTTTCATTTGGATAAGTAACTCATGCTTTTGTTTCTCTGAGATAATACCAATTTTGTAATGAATTTGATAACTACAGAGTATTTCCATCAACAGATTACCTTACAATACTATTTGCACATACATCACACATAATAGATATTGCATCATCAAGCCCTCTGGTGTGTTCCACTAGGTTCTAAACATAGTAGCATTTTTCTTCACTATTTTAGAGTGGGAGCCATGGTAATTGTAATACAGATAATCAATACATAGTTTGAACACACATCACATCTACCCATTGTGTTGCCACTGTACATGTCACATCTAACAATCCTGTTGCCACTGTACATGTCACATCTAACAATCCTGTTGCCACTGTACATGTCACATCTAACAATCCTGTTGCCACTGTACATGTCACATCTAACAATCCTGTTGCCACTGTACATGTCACATCTAACAATCCTGTTGCCACTGTACATGTCACATCTAACAATCCTGTTGACACTGTACATGTCACATCTAACAATCCTGTTGCCACTGTATATGTCACATCTAACAATCCTGTTGCCACTGTATATGTCACATCTAACAATCCTGTTGCCACCGTACATGTCACATCTAACAATCGTGTTGCCACTGTACATGTCACATCTAACAATCGTGTTGCCACTGTACCAACAGGATTGTTAGATTTGACGTGTACAGTGCAACAGGATTGTTAGATTTGACGTGTACAGTGGCAACACGATTGTTAGATTTGACGTGTACAGTGGCAACACGATTGTTAGATGTGACGTGTACAGTGGCAACACGATTGTTAGATTTGACATGTACAGTGGCAACAGGATTGTTAGATGTGACATCCACTGTACACGTCAAATCTAACAATCCTGTTGCCACTGTACACGTCAAATCTAACAATCCTGTTGCCACTGTACACGTCAAATCTAACAATCCTGTTGCCACTGTACATGTCAAAACTAACAATGCTGTTGCCACTGTACACGTCAAAACTAACAATGCTGTTGCCATTGTACATGCCACATCTACTCATCATGTTGCCATTGTACATGCCACATCTACTCATCATGTTGCCACTGTACACGTCAAAACTAACAATGCTGTTGCCATTGTACATGTCACATCTACTCATCATGTTGCCACTGTACACATCACATCTACCCATTGTGTTGCCACTGTACGTCACAGGTTGTAATGTCAGGAAGAGCAAGCACAATCCAAACAACAGCCTCAGCAAGAGATTGATTGTAAAGGGCTGTCTACTATTAGAAAAACAAGGTAACTAGCTTAATACAGAACTATAATGAAGTAATAACTCAAGCCTGTGGTGTATATTCAATGTGTACAGCCACATATACTATCCAGTCTAAAAATATCTGAATGTGGTCAGATATTAGAAGCTAGATATCCAAAATCTGACCTAAATTATTATTTCTCCCATAATGTATACTATATCTACCTTGATATGAACATTATCTTCATTAAGTACTTTCTAGGAGAGAGATGCCAGTTGAACCCTGGATACATATTTCTTAATTTCATTTTAATCAGTTGTTAGCCTCAATCAACAGATCATTTATGACATTAAATCATTGCTTCCACTTTTAAAGGCAAAACAACAAGTATGTGAAAATTAGACATTGTTACACTTAACAATTAAAGGCAACAAGGGGCCTCTTGGTCCAATGAGAATGTCCCATTCACTTCAAAAAAATAGAATCTAGCCTTGACCTTTCAAATATTTATCAAGCTTTCCCTTTCTTAAATTTACTGCATCCACCACATCCAAATACCATTCACCCTGTTGAAAAAATAAGACTGCTTTCTTAGCTGAAAATGGCTCCTTCCATGCCAAAATTTATACTTCTGTTGCCTTGTTCTTCCATTTCCACCATTAAGTATGAAAAAGATAATACATCAACACTATTAATTCCCTTAATAATTTTAAACACCTCAATCAGATCCCTTCTAACTCTTCGTTTTTTTTAAAGAGAAAACAATTTCAGAGATCATTATCTATCCTTATATGATAATCTTTCCATTACAGATATAAGCCTGCCAACCCTCCTTTGAACTATTCAGTGTCCTTCCGAAGCCCAAGAGTGAACACAATACCCCAAATGAGGACTAACCACTAACCTATACAACTAGATGTACTTGCATTGGGTCCCCAAAAGTGTTCTGTTTCAAGAGTAAATAAAACCAAAATTAAAAGCAACAAATATGTTTATTTCTTGTTTTTGAAGTTCATATGTCATGCGCATGTTTTACTGACATCACGGCAGTACAAATTGTAACATTAAGGGTCTTATGTGATGTCATTCTCATGTTTACTGACTACCTGACAGATAATACTCATTCACCCTGATTCTGATCTTATTAACCCTTGGATGAACCATTCACCCAGTTAAGAAGCACTGAACTAGAGCCTCTTCAGTAACAATTACAAGGTTATTCCCATGATAATTACACTAATTATTCATATTACAATAACCCACATGTTTTACCATGCATTTATTATAATCAAAACCCATCTGCCATTTATTCACTCAACTCTCACATTCCAAATCTTTTTTTAAAGCAGCGACACCCAAGATCTTAATATCATCACCAAATGTAAGCAATTTATTGATTATTCTTTTATATATGTCTTTAAAGCAAAAAGAAGAGTTAAGATCACAACACCCAGCTCTGAGGCACCCACCTACAGAATTCATCCCACTCGACTGAACTTATAATATATATATTATAATAATTATAACCCCCTGCTTTCTTCCTTCCACTTCCAGCGAGTTCCATAAGCTTCAGCCATTTTTCCATCGAACAAGCCAAATTATCATCCATATCCATAGAAATAATTTCGTTAACAATACCTAAAAATTATAATAACTTTATGAGCCACAAATATAGTATATTTCATTTTTCACCATTCAATCGACCTTTCACTTTCAACGTCAGTAATACTAATAGTACTCATACTCCAGTTTCATCCGTGATCACATTTTCTAATAACTTAAAACAAAGAAAGATACTGAGATTTAACAGACATTTTTATCAAAAAATAATCTAACTACTATTACCTGATCATCTGATGTAGCTGTTTTAAAGTTGTCATCATGAAACTGTTCTTCAGAAATTGAAGCTTCAAGACACCGAAGTTTTACTACAACACGTCTCTCGTTTTCACCCATCTTAACTAAGATCAAAAATAATAATAATAAAGCTCGTGGCGTCATCTGCAATAATATTTAACAAAATAAGATTTTTGATACAACATATTTATCCCACAAATATCCATTTTATTTTCTTATTTTAGATGTGGGTGTAATTAAGCAAATAATTATCTGTTACATTACACAAAACAGTCTCACATATAAATTGCATAATAAATTACACATGTGGTAATTATAACTCAATATCTAAATTACGCTACCAGTAAATATCTGTGTATCATATTGTTGCGGCAGCGAGGTCACGTGACTAGTGTCACGCCACGTTCTAGAACTATCCCGTTCCTTCGGGAGTGCTCTA